ATATATATATATATATATATGGGTTTTTTTAACTTTTCTATTTTGAACTTGTTATTTTTTTAATTTTATTTTTTATTTTTTAAGTAATTCTGTACCCAACATGGGGCTCAAACTTTCAACCCCAAGATCAGGAGTTGCATGCTCTACTGACTGAGCCAGTCAGGTGCCCTTATTGAACTAATTTTAAACTTACAGTAAAGTTACAAAAATAATAGTTTTAATGGTAACATCTCCTCCTCAAGCTTCTAATGGTAACATCTTATAGGATTGATAGTTGTCAAAACCAGGAAGTAAACATTAGTAAATGCTGTAATGAAACTAAAGACTTCATTTACATTTCACTAGTTTCCTCATTAATGCCTCTTTTCTAGGATCTCACAATTTGTAAGTCTCTGGCCACCTTTCCCAGGTCTGTTTTGGATTCTGTTTATATTTTGCTCACTAATTTTAGTACCTGGATCTTTTCTGCAGTGATTATTGACATGGTGTTTGCCTGATGATTTTTTATTTCTTCTCCATTTATTATTTACTCGATTATTTATATCAGTGTGAACTCAGATATTTATTTTATTCTGTTGGGGTATACTTTATCTAGTTGCTCAAATTATTCCCGCTTTGGCCATTGGGAGCTTCTTTAGGTTAGTTCCTGTGTGGTTTTTTTTTGATAAGCCTCATCTTTTTTTTTTTAAGTACTTCTTTACTCTCTGGCATCACAAAATGTTCCGGGCTTATCTTGTATTTTCCATGCCCCAGGCCAAGTATCTGCTATTTCTCTGAAGAGCCCTGGTTCCTTTGATTGGAAAATGATGTTTAGAAATAAAGACCTAAGTGTTAGGTATGCTCCCTGGGTGTCACTTCCAGACTCCCTCGACAGAAGTAGGAAAGTATATGTATACCAACTGACGCGTATACGTACAGGGCTAGACTGAGTTTGTACTGATAGCTTGGCTCCCAAATGCTTGCAGGGTTGTTCCAGGCCTCCACCTTTCCTTATTTGTCACTTCTTTCTCCAACTGTGAGACACCTGACTCTATCTGCATTGTATTCCCTTGTTCACTTCTCATATGCACATAAAGCAGTCTCAGAATTGCTAACCTCTATGAGAAACCTTCACGAGCTTCCAGTGTTTACGCACAGCTCTTTGTCTTTGGCCTCACAGTATCCCTTCAAGTTACTGTTAACTTAGATTCATTCTGTTCTTTCTCACCACCTTCAGTGTGCTTGTGTTTCTCATTTATAACAGGCTCATTTGTTAGTGTTTGTATGCTGTTTTTAGGTTCTCCCATCTCTTTCGGGGGAGGGGCAAAGTGTGTGTGTGTGTGTGTGTGTGTGTGTGTGTGTGTGTGTGTGTGTGTGTCTGTGTCTGTGTCTGTGTGTGTCTGTGTCTATGGGTCTGTGTCAGGGGGTTATGTGAAGCGTGTGTGAAACATTACTGTGGTTCCAGGAGTAAAGTTGTATGAAAAGGTTAACGCAACCCCATCCCTGCAACCCCATTCTCCCTTTTTTCCCCTCACCTACCCTTTATAGGTAACCAGTCTCTTTAGTTTCTAGTTTATCTTTGCTGTGTTTCTTCTGCACAAATAAGCAGATATATGTGTATTTCCTTTTATCTCTTTTTTTCGTATGCGGAGGGCAGCATACTATAGATACTCTTGCGTTTTGCTTCATGTCATAACTCCACAGCACTTTGAAGAGATCATCCTAATTGTTTTCTATTTTTTTAGCTTCATGATTATTATGTGGATGTATCTGGTTTATTCAGCCATTCTGTGGGCACTTAGATTATTTCTAGTATTTCGCAATCACAAAGAGACAGTGAATAACCGTGAGCATGTGTGTTTTGTATTGTTGCTGGTGTGTTTTCAAGGTAGAATTCCAGAAGTAGAATTGCTGGAGCAAAAGATAAGCAACTATATATGTAGTTTTGCTAGCCTTGCCAAATTTCCCTTCAGAAGGTTGTGTGATTTTGTATTCCCATCAGCAATGTAGCGTGTTTATTTCCGCGTGGCCTCACAAACAGAATGTGTTGTCCTGTGTTTTAACTTTGGCCAGTCTCATAAGTGAGAAATGATATCCCAGTGCTGTTTTAATTTGTGTTTCCTTGAATTATCTGTCCCTTTATATACTAGGAATATTGGCTTTTTGTGGTACATATTGTGAACATTTTCTCCTAGTTTGTCAGTTGTCTTTTGATTTTATGACTTTTTTGTCATAAAACTCTTTAATGTTTAGTAGCTCTTTTAATGACATGATTTATTCAGAATAGCCTTCATTATCCTTTAGAATGTGAAAGTGAATTTAAATACACTCACTACTTAAAATAATAAACTCACTACTTTTAGACAAGCGTACCTTATGAATTTTGTCTTTGTTTTTCTAGAGTATTAATGCAAGTTCCAAATAGCATATTATCCACCAATAAATACCTCAGTATTTAGGGGCACCTGAGTGACTCAGTTAGTTAAGCGTCCAACTTCAGCTCAGGTCATGATCTCGCAGTTTGTGAGTCCGAGCCCTGTGTTGGGCTCTGTGCTGACAGCTCGGAGCCTGGAGCCTGCTTCGGATTCTGTGTCTCCCTCTCTGCCTCTCTACTGCTTGTGCTCTCGCTCTTTCTCTCTCTGCCTCTCTCTCAAAAATAAATATAAAAAAAAAACCCTCAGTATTTGTGTCTAACAAGGATTCTTTAGAATGAAACCATTATACCATTATTATTCCTAAATAAGATGGATAATAATTCCTTAATGATCTAATACCCAGTCCACATTCACAGTTCCTCGGTTGTTTAAAATACACTTCTTTCGGTTGTTTCTTTGAATTGGATCCAAACAGGTCATATATTTATTGCATTTGGAAGCCCGTTATTTCTTGATTTCATGCTAGAAATGAACACTTGTATTGATACTGGTCATTTGGAAGTGAAGTGATGTAATTCCATGGTGTGATGTCCATTATATGTGGATTGTTTGACTTCTTGTAGTGATGAGCATACTTTGCTAGTAGGGCAAGTAGGGGAGGGCCAAATAAGTGACTTCAGGTTTTAAGAAGTGAGACTTGTCTTGTTTCACTATACTTCACAGCTTTAATTCTGGACAAGGGGAGAAAAAGTAGGAACACTGGTCCTTAATAGTAAATTCATTTATTAGAATATATAGAAAAGCAATGCATGCTTGCTATTTATGCTACTCATGCTGAGCCTAATAAAAATTAATGATAAATCTGTATTGTATCTTTTAATGTTTTTATTTTGAAATTATTTCAGATGTGTAAAAAAGTTGTAAGAACAGGGGCGCCTGGGTGGCTCAATTGGTTAAGTGTCCAACTTAGGCTCAGGTCATGATATTGTGTTGTGGTTCATGAGTTCAAGCCCCACATCGGGCTCTGTGCTGACGGCTCAGAGCCTAGAGCCTGCCTGGGTTTCTGTGTCTCCCTCTCTCTCTCTCTCTGCCTCTTGCTTGCTCACGCTGTGTGTGTCTTGCTCTCTCAAAAATAAACAGACGTTAAAAAATTAAAAAAAAAAAAAGCTGTAAGAACAGTACCAAATTTTTTTTTTTGAACCATTTGAGAGTAAGTTGCCATGATGCCCTCTGGTTTTTGAGAACTTGATTGTGTATTTCTTACAAGCAAGGACATTATCCTTCTGTTGTTATTTAGTGCTGCTTGACAAATTAACATAAAACTTAGCAGTCTAAGACTACAAATGTTCATTATTTTCTGTGGTTTTTGAGGGTTGGGAATCTGAGAGCAGCTTGACTGTGTGTTCTGGCTCAGGAGAATTCACGTGGCTGAGATCAGGCTCTTAGATGAGCCTGCCGTCTCTGAGGACTTAGAGACTGGAGGATTTATTTCCAAGATGGCTCACTCATGCCGCTTTGACAGGATGCCCTTAGATCCTCACCATGTGGGCCTCTCCATAGACCACTTATTTGTCCTCACCCTGGAAGCAGAGTTCTGGTGCAAGTGATCCAAGATCGCAATAGAGTTTGAGTATCTTCTATGACCTATCTTTGAAGTTGGTCGCTTCAATTTTGTTTTATTTGTTAGAAATGAGTCACTAAGTTCAGCCCACACTCAGGTGGAGGGAAATTAGGCTCCACCTCTACAAAGGAAGAGTATCAAAGAGTTAGTGGGTATTTTTTAAACTTTCACATTCTTACAGAACCAGCATATAGCCATCAAAGATGGGAAATTAACACTAATTAACTACTCTCTGATGGTCCTCAGATCATATTCAGGTTTCTCCAGTTGATCCAATGTCATTATAACAGAGGATCCAGTTGAGAAGTGTGTGCTACATTTAGTTGTCCTGTCTCAAGTCTTCTTTAATCTGGAATAGTTTTTCTGTCTTTCCTAGACTTTGATGACCTTGAAGCTTTTTTTTCCTTAAAGTTTATTTATTTATTTTGAGAAAGAGAGTGTGAGCAGGCAAGTAGTAGAGAGGAAGAGAGAGAATCCCAAGCAGGTTCCGCTCTGTCAGCATAGAGCTTGACACGGGGCTCAAACTCACGAACTGTAAGATCATGACCTGAGCCAAAATCAAGAGTCAGACGCTTAATTAACTGAGCCACGCAGGCACCCCAGCCTTGAAGCTTTTGGAAATTAGAGGCCACTTGTTTTATAGAATATCCCTCAGTTTGAGTTTGTCTGGTTGAATACTTGGGATTCAATTCAGTTCTGCATCTTTGACAGAAATATCATTAAAATGCTGTGTTCTTCATATTGCATCCTGTCAGGTGGTTCTTGATTTTAATTTGTCCCATTACTGATCATGTCCACTTTGATCGTTTTGCTAAGGTGGTATCGGCTGGCTTTAGCCACTGTAACGTTACCTTATTTCCCCTATGTAATTAATAAGTGTTTTATGAGGAGGTAAGTCCTTTAGTGTTTTATTCTGTCCTGAACACTTGCCTTGCTCAGCCCCCACCTAGTGATTTCAGGGGCTGAATTTCTCAGGAAGGAGTAAAGGATGAAGAATTTGTATTTGAGAAGGTAGAATTTCCCAAACACCTAAGAAAGTTCTGCTAAACAATATGCATTTAATTTAAATAGGTTACCATTGTATCTGGCTGGTACACAAGCTGTGGTGGCATAACCAAAAAGAGTGCAGATCCAGGGCTTTTCAATCTCTGCCACTGTCAGCCAGGCCACACTGGCCTGCGGTGTGATCTCGAACAGCCACATGCTCTGCTTCCACATCTGCATAGTAGGCATGGTGGTTGCAAGGGTCAGAGAGTCTGCCTACCTGCCTGTCTACCTACGAAAGTACTGTGTAAGTCGTAAAGGCCTTTGTAAAAGCTAGAGCTAAGTTTTGTGCTTCCTCAAGTAGAATTCAGACAACTTCTAGTGTTAAACACTGTTTCAAATACTTTTTCCTCAATTAAGTCTTAATTGGATTTGTGATGTTTCTACATTGATAAAATCAACCTACAACACCTGGAAATGTTCTCCTATCTTTTGTCATTTTTTTCTTCACTTCCAAGTCATTATGTCCCCTCCTATTGGTTTAGATTGTCCCCTTATCTTACATAACGGCCTCATAGAAAGATGAATACGATGAATCTTCATATACTTTTCTCCCAGATTGAACAATTACCAAGTTTTTGTTCTATTTTATCTGTTTATTTCTGCATCTCTCTTTTTTTTTCTGAATTTGTAAGAAGTAAATCTCACCCTTCATACTCTAAAAATATGGATATTTTGTTTTATAACCACAATGCTATTATCACACTTAACAAAATAGATCATTTCTTGCTATCATCTGAATTCAGTCCATAATCAGATTTCCTTGAAATATCTTTTTATCTCCTCACAAAATACTCATTATTTACAAAGGGAAAATGGTAACTTTATAGTGGAGAAACCTGTAAGGTACCACGTTAATCAAGTGATCAAAGTTTAATACAGTATCAGCATTTTGACATCATGTGCTTCCTGATATGATGCACTGAGAGGCACAGCATTATTTCGGTGATATTCCTTACAAAAAGCTTAACCTGGGCTTAAACAGGAGGAAACATCAGACAAACCTAATTGAGGGACATTCTACAAACAAAGTGACCAGCACTCTTTAAAATGTCATGGTCATGAAGGACTTGAACTGTCCCAGATTGGAAGAAACTAAGGACACATGACAACTAAATGAAATGTGGATGTTGGATTAATCCTGAAACAGAAAAAGGATATTATTTGGATAATCGGCTTAATTTGAAGACGATGTATAGATTAGTTAATAACATTGTATCATTGTCAATTTTCTGGTTTTGATAATTGTGTTATGACTGTAGGTGGTGTTAACATTTGGGAAAGCTGAGTGAAGGGCATGTGGGGAATGTGTACTGTTTTTGGAAGTCTAACATTGTTTCAAAATAAAATACCAAGTCTTTTATTAATTTTTTTATTTTATTTTTAAAGTTTATTTATTTTGAGAGACAGAGAGCAGAGGAGGGACAAAGTGTATTTATTTTGAGAGACACAGAGCAGAGAGACAGATAGCACCAGGCAGGCTCCGTGCTATCAGTGCAGAGCCTGACATGGGGCTTGAACCCACGAACTGCGAGATCACGACCTGAGCTGAGACCAAGAGTCGGACGCTTGACCAACTGAGCCACCCAGGTACCCCTAAAATATCAAGTCTTTTAAAGGATGATTTACACAGGGTCACCTGGGTGACTCAGTAGGTAGAGCATGTGACTTGGTTCCAGGGTCATGAGTTCAATCCCATGCTGGGCCTAAAACTTACTTTAAAAAAAAAAAAAAAAAA